GCCGCGCCCGCCGCCGCCGTAGGCCGCCTTGAAGATGATGGGGAAGCCGTAGGTGTTGGAGAACTCCTGCGCCTCCGTCAGAGAGGAGATTGGGGCGTCCGTGCCCGGCACCACTGGCACGCCTGTGGGCACACAGGGAAGGGGGGAGGGGGGGTATTGACAGGTTAGTGTCCCAGGGCAGCGGCCTCCCACGATCCCACGGGCAGCTGAGGCGCCCAGATACTGGGGGGACCCCCGCTTGTATTGGGTTGGATCGTCCGGGGGTCCGGCCGAGTCTCTGGGGTCCGGGGGGGCGGCGGCGCCGTACCTGCGTGGACGGCGATGGCACGAGCCTCCACCTTGTCGCCCATCTTGCGGACCACGTCGGGGGCCGGGCCGATGAAGCGCACGCCGGCGTCGATGCAGGCCTGGGCGAAGTCGGCGCGCTCCGACAGGAAGCCGTAGCCCGGGTGGATGGCGTCCACCTCGTTCTCCTGCGCGGGGGGGGGGGAGAGGAAACGGAAGATGGACCTTCCTGGCCGCGTGCCTCCGGCCCGGCCCAGCTAGGACGCGCGCCTCCTCCAGCTCCAGGAGGGGCCGGTCCTGAAGACTGAGTCCCATAGAGAGCACCCCCCACCCCCACCCCCACCCCGGGGGCCCGCCAGCGCAGCGCACAGGAAGGGCTTGAGCAAGGCGCTTCCTCTGTGAGGCAACTGCCCCAGAAATCACAGGAAACCGCAAGCTGCCCATTCTCACACGGGACACAGGGGACACAGCCGAGAGCCGGAAGAGCCGAGCTCCAGCCCAGGAAGGCAACCCGGCCGGCCGGTTCGGTCCGGTCCGGTCCGGCGGGGAGGAGGAGGAGGAGGAGGGAGCAGGGACCAGGGAGGCACAGCCCAGCTCGCAGAGTGAGCGAAGTGAGGGGGTGACGGATGAGACCTGCCCCCCCCCTCTGGCCGGCCGGGGTGCCTCACCTTGGCCACCTTGATGATGTCGGGGATGTGCAGGTAGGCGCCGACGGGCGTCAGGCCCCGGCCGATCAGGTAGGCCTCGTCCGCCTTCTGCCGGTGCATCTGCCCCGTGTCCTGCTCCGCGTACACCGCCACCGTGCGGATCCCCAGCTCCGTGCACGCCCGGAAAACCCGGATGGCGATCTCTCCTGGAGGCAGGGACAGGAGGAGAGCGAGACGGCAGGGAATTAACACGAGCGCAACGTTCAAAACGTCCCCCCCCGGAAACACGGCGTTAGGGACGCAACTGGTTCCGAGCGCTGCAGCCAGCTGGAGGTGCCCAGGAGGGCCGAGCCCCCCCGCAAGCTGGCAGCGCTGTGGGCGAACTCAGCGGGGGGGGGGCGCCGGGCCCACGGGGCTGAGGAGCGCCGTGTCGAATATCCTGCACGCAGCCTTCATCTTCCTCAGCTTCAGGGGGCTCACAGGACCAGGGCGACCGACTCAAACCCCCCCCACCCCACCCCCACCACTCCTGCTGCTGCTGCTGCTGCTCTCACCTCGGTTGGCCACCATGACCTTCTTGATGGGCCGGTAGTCAACGCGCTGGGTGCTCTGGAAGGCCTGGGACAGCACCGACACCCGCCGGGCCCCGAGGAAGCCCAGCCCACCCCGGACCAGGCGCAGCTGCAACATCTGGAAGGAGAAGAGCAGGGCGCCACGGGGTCAGGCACAGCATGACAGGACGGGGGGCAGAACAGAGCCAGGAACACCGGCTGTCCCCGCCCCCCCCACCCCCCCGAGCGGGTCTGCTCAGTTACACCACAGCTGGAGCATCTGGAGCGACAGCAGCACAGCGGGCTCACGCACACGAGCCGAACCCCTGCCATCGCCCACAGCTGCAACATCTGGAGCAGCAAGAACAGCAGGGCGGTCCGCCCCGGCAGGCGAGCCGACCCGGGTTCGAGTTCCGGATTTGAGCAGCTTCAACGGTGCTTTTCCTACAAAAGAGCAAGTCCGCTTGGGTCCCGTGTAGACACGCCACGTTTAACCTCGACATCAAAGCACTGAGGAAGGGAAGAGGGGGGGTAGAACAGGACCTATCCGCCTAGCCAGAGCTGTCAACCGCAGGATTTAAAACGCTCAGCTGCCTGGGCGCGCAGCTCGGTTGGGAGGCAACGGCTCAATTAAATCCCTGGATCTCGCCCAGCCACTTCTCGGAAGACACACGGAGGAACTGGCTCCAACGACATGCCCGGGCAGCTTGTTCCACGCTCCCACCCCCCTCTGTGTAAAGAGGGGCCCCGCTGTCCCGACTGAAGGATCTCATCATCCAGCTGCGTCTCGAAAGGAGCCAGGATACCGGCTTCAACAGCACGGCTGAAGTGCCACACTCCCACCACCTTTTGTGTAAAGTGCCCCCCCCACCTTCTAATGTCCCTGTAGTTTCCACTCAAGACCTACAGTTCCTGTTTTATGGGGGAGGGGGGAGTAAAAAATAAAAAACTAAAAACGGGCAGGAAAGCAGCAGGGAAGTTGGTGGGAAGAGTCTCGGGAGTCTGGCGGGCAGGAGAGGAGGGCACGCGACTCCTCTCATTCATGAAGAGCCCGCGCCAGGCGCCGACCTCTGACCCAGTTTCCAGCGCCGGCCCGGGTCAAAGAGCAGCGCGGCTCGGGCTGTTGACTCTGGCTCGCTCCTGACGTCAGCGGGAGTTCGTGTTCTCTGCGCCCCCCCCCATCCACAGTGGCTCAGGGAGGGGCGCAAGTTCAGAGTGGAGACCCCACACCCCTGGGGGCCACCCCCCGTTTCCCCAGCCGCTGCAGAGAGAAGGTCACGAGCTCCCGCAGGTCCCTCGGCCTCGAACTGAGCCACGACTGCAGGGACCTACAGCCCCGAGAGACCCCAGCCCGGGACGAGCCCCCCACAGTCCCAAGACAAGCCCC